CATGCATTCAAAATCTTACAGGCTTAAAACAATCGACACACTGATGTATCTTACACAGGTCAAACTGGTCAAATTGTCCTCTTTGGGTAGTAATGATATAGTTGCTATGTCAAGCAAGCTCTGGAAATGGGATGTCAACATTTTAAAATAAAAATGAATAAGAGGGTTAAATTGATTATGATAGCACGAGTTAAGTGCTAGGTTTCTTATCTTTATTTTCTTCTTGTTTTCTTCTTCTTTGCGTTTTCATCCTCCTCCTATATTTTTCTTTAACTAAAGAATGCGTATAATTTAGAGGAGTGAATTGATGATGACACGATGTAAGTGCTGTAGGTTTGAAATTTACAAAGAGTAAAACTTTAAAAGGTAACGATTCAAATAAAGTTGCTGTATAAACAAAAGAGATCAAATTGAATCAAAGAAAATGACACGAATCATACACAGAAAATAGATGTTAAGGAGACGGAAAAATAAATCTAGTATTTATTTACCAATGCGACACACAAATTGAATCGTTCTCATCTGAACATTTTACTTGATGTATACAGGGTATTGTCATTTATATTGTGCGTAGCTAATAATTTTCCTTATTACGAGGTATGATGGTTTTATTTAATAGAGATTAATTTCCCATTAAGTAATTTAGCACATTAAACTTACTTTTATTTTTAATTTGAGGTAATTCATCTTTATTGTTAGGTGAACACTTATTATTAGTTAAAGCTCTGATAATGATGACCAAATCAATTTCAATGCGGGAAAAGAAATGAGCTGTGTCCATACAGTTAATCATAACCAGGTTAAACTTTAATTCCCTTAGCTATCCATACGAGATGTCACGCAGAGGTTTCTGCTAGTTAATAAAACATTATTTTGGATATTTTCATAGCGCACATATCCACCAAGCAAGGTGTTCAAGGCGCTCCAATATTACCCCGCTCTGCCAGGCTTCAAGGAATTCCCACCTATAACCATCTAACACCTGGGTGGAGAGTGGCAAATGTAGATTTGTATATTATCATTTTGCCACAAAAAGAAACAAAAACTTTTTCATATATTATCTACCATTTTTTAATCGAAGTTAAGTGATAATTATATGTTTATTTGCGTGAGATTTCATAGTTTACGTATGGACAGCGGATTCTGAGAAGTATAAATTATTTGAACTACATGTAGGCATATGCACATAAGCATTTACATTTATTTGTTATTAAACATTTGCATTGGTTTGCATGAAATACTTATCAGTCTACTCAAAATACCATGATTACTATCAAAATCAAAACTAAAAGTTTTTTAAAACGAGAACACACTTTTGTATAGAATCTAACAAAAGGATGGATTTTGAGACATACTTCAACCAAATAATTCCCAATTTTGATGAAAGAAAATATTTCCAAGAACGTTTGACAAAAAGCTAGAAAACTAAATCCTCAAATCTACCAAATTTACCATACAAATATATGACTGTAAGATTGCAAAGCAAGACATTGACAGGAAAGAAAGGAAGAAAACAAAAACATTTGAATTAAACAAAAAAACATCAATTTGCCAAAGCATTGAAAGATGTGCAACAGGTATCACCAGAATTTTGGTACACGCTACACCTTTCGTGAAATCATATCTTTGTCTTTACACAGCTAAAATTTAGTACTTGTTTTGGACTTTAAGACGCTTCAGTTTGGGCTAATAGCGAGTCTTGATTCTATGAGGTTTCTTCAAAACCAGCAAATTTGCATAGTTTGTCATCAAACCATCGACCTAAGTCATCAAAAATATATTTCTGATAATTACAACTAAGTAAATATTTACAGCAAGCCGAGACGGATAATGAGTCGACGATGTAGTTTTATGAGCGAGCATGAGATTATGTTTATCAATCAATTTCATTCTTTACTAATTTGGCTCGAAAGTGAGACGAAACGGTTTTGACTTGACCGCTGGGCAGCGTTTCATGAAACCGTCATAAGTACAAGTTCACCGACTTCCAATTGAAACGCGTGTTTAATACAACACACGCGTTTCAACGGGATGTCGGTGAACTTGTGCTTATGACGGTTTCATGAAACGATTCCCCGAGTAGAAAATGCTACCTATACATGCCATATATCACATTTCTAACCAGATCCGTCATATCACGAACCGTATTGATAGCAAAACAAGTTTGATTCAGGTCACGCATGATTAGAATTGGGGATCGAAGGAATCTATACATGAACGCAAGGACTTTCGAAAAACCATCAAACGGTTATTTCAATATGCCCTCGTGCATCACCTATGGATACGTGCGAACATTATAATAACGTATTACGTAATCTGAATATGGTTTCGATTGATTACATAATGCGGTATCACAATAGACCAGTTCACGGTTAGCACCTTACTGCAATGACCCCGAATATCTACAGATCTTCAAAACATGAAGAGGTCCCACTTTGTACATTTTGAAATAATCACTCCTACAGCGATGGAGGTGCTATATAAATAGCCTTTGTTCCCCCTTTTCAAAGAATACTTCTACCTGAGCTGTGTAACATAGAGTGCACTGAATGTGCATGAATGAATAATGTTACATAACTTTCATGAGCACGTATCCAGTATTTCGTCTCTGTGTATTTCAAAATTTGTTCTGCAATGACCTTTATCTGCTCATGCTCAGACTGCAACTGTGAACTGGCTTATTACCCTTTAGTCTTTACGAGTGTGTCATCTGAACATGCTTAACAGCAATTTGATTATTTCATTGTCACCCGATGAGCAATAAGATTTTCCCATAAACAGAAGTATAGCTCAAGTAGATATTTACAAACATGGAAACGGCATTTCAAATTAGAATTTACCGGTATCTATAATACTAAACTTGTTCGCTCCGTATAATTTTACAAAGTTAGGAAAGAAAATGAGCGATCTGCACAATTATTTAAGACCTTATCTTCTACACATGAAAATATATCATATTCAAACCTGACATAGTTTACCATATACATTCTATATACAATGTTTCATAAAACTTTTCTATTTGATATATATATTAGACCGTTTTTTATGATACAAATATTTACATGTAGCGAGTATTATTTACATCAATTTGATTTATATTCAAAAGTATATACAACTGCATTATATATATACAATGGAATCCAATTTCAGGATTCTATCTCGCTATTCATAATTATGATCATCGTGCGATGAACCAAATATTTGCTCCAAGTTTGAATATTTAATGATATTTAGGGAACTCCCAATCAAAGCTTTCTTTTCCCTAAAAGAGACTTCATAAAAAATTTAATATACCAATGAAAAGAGAATCTCATGGGTTATCAAATTCCGACCAGCAAAATGTTAAGAAAGAAAAAACAAAATCCTATTTTAAAAATATAGAATATTATAATGAAGCCATATTAAGATAAATTCATTTAATTTTCTAAGTGACTCGGTAACCTCGGTGGTTTTCTTTGAAGGCGTCACTGTGCGACACCCTCTAACAGTAAATTCTCCCACCCATTTTTGAATTTTCTCAACGGTTTTTCTATGAAAATAAGATATAAGACAGGCTTTGGAAAAATCTTATAACACTGAATTGTCTGGAATGGTATATGGAGCCAATTCATTGCTTTGTGAGGATTTACATTCACCTAAAATGTTTTCAAATTGTAATATTATATTTGGGAGAATTGAGGAATCGATCAGATCAGTTTTTTCCAATTTGTATCGTTAATAATAGTCTGTTTTTACTCAAACTTTCAGATTATCTAGCATTGACGTCACTACCTTAGCATCCTTTTCTCTCATCTGAACAATGTTACCAAGTAGGGGTATATTTAAAGGGTTAATTACACACCCGATAAACAATATAATTTTAAATAATACATATTCTTTAAGTGCCTGAATGATAATAATGAGATAATTGAAGTGCCTGAATGATAATTACAAAATAATAGAAGTATCTAGATGGTAATAAAGAGATAATTGAATAGAAAGCAAAATGTAAAACCTTATATACCCTTTTATCATACCCATATAACGTCACACACAGTAATATTGTAGTATAGTCTAACGCACTACGAACTAATAATTTTGTGAAGTAAATTGGCGGCAGTGTTATTGATTAGAAGAGTTTGGCCAATCCAGTTCGAGTTGTGCATACTATGGCGAGTACTGCTTTGTTGGGCAAGCACAAAATAACGGAATAATTTTACGCCATGCTGTGACCAACTGAAACCCGGTTAGCCAACTCGATCTGATGGGCTCTGTATGACGAATGAAAAGAGCGCCATCTTTAGTTTGGATGATGCTCGGTTGCTAGTATTCACGCCATGCTATAGAGCAGATATATTACATTGAATTGTGGTCATATATTGTTTTTATTAAAGGATTAAACAAAAAAAACAAAAAACATGTATTGCCAAACGGGGAATGTAAGATTAAATTGCACATTATTGTTTCTCATAGTTACCATTGGGAGTTGTTAATCACATGTAAAATATTTCTTTTATAATTTTTTTTGTCTGGCTACTTCTAGTCCTATTAATTTTGCTTTCATGAATATTACCCGCTCAGTTTGCGCTTCATTTCTGTCATTCTCTCTCTTGCAATTTCAAAACCTACTTCTGTATGATCTCCTGGGGAGCGTTTCACGGAACTGTCTCAAGTGCAAGTTTACTGACATCTCATTGAAACGCATGCATTAAAATTAACACGGAGGTCGGTAAAATTGTACTTATGACGTTTTCGTGAAAACGATGACCTGAAATTTATCTGTAATTTCCATATCTTGCGTGTTCATATTTCTAGCCCATTATAGATATTAAAGACCGTCACCACTACTGGGCCAGAAGGGATTAGACCACACAGAGAGCCATCGAGGTCACTGAGACAGGTGGCTATCTCATTAACTCAGCTCTCATTTAACATAAGAAAAAGAGGATCATGGGGGACCAACAGGCACCGATTGGGGAAGTTTTCTATATAGAGGGAGCAAGTAGCTACAAGTATGGCAGTGTGCCTTTAAAAAAACTCGATTTAAAAAAAGAAAAGAAAAAGAAAAATCACTTTACAGTGTGTCTTTATGATCAGTCACGAGTATCGGGTCGAACCAAAAGCAGAATCCGCCCAGATGGAAAAACAGCGTGGCAAAATAATGAGGCATCTCGTCCTCGCCGGCGAGATCGTACTACGGTAATGATGGCGGTGACGTCCGTTGATGATGAGCGAGGCAAGGGATCACGCAGGTTGTGTGTACCGGTGTTATTTTAGATGCTCTGTCTGGACCAACTCTAGTTTATCGCTGGTCCCATCCTCTCCCAACTCGTCATAGTCCGTCAAGTTATTTTTTAAGCACTGGAGGCAGCTGCGAAAAAAAGAGAAAAGATCAGAATAGGATTTAATGTCATTGAATAGATATTTAATCCATTTGTTACCAAATTAATGATGCTAAGGTTAAGATAAAATCAATCTTGGAATATATCGTCTATTCAGCTGAGTATGCGATTTTATGCTGTGAGCTTTAGTGGAACAATTTGTGCTTCCTGTCCTTTGTACTGCGATTTTTCTTTACACACTCTGACTATGCATCACTCACCTATAAGTTAATACCTAACCCATCATTTCATTGAATTATACAGACAGGCCCTATGAGAAGTATATGCTGTTAACCCTATCAAGTCAGGTTTCGTTTTAGAGCTAAATTAACACCTTTTTACTTAAATTAGCAATAAGTATATTGTATATAATATCATTGTAGACATTAATCACCTTTTCCTTCTTAAATTGGCAATAATTAAATATTTCATATTTGTACAATTCGAATAGAATGCTCTGCCTCAGAGAATAATATGTATGATTGTGAGCTATATGGAAAAGTTAAAAGAATTTCTTTTTATATTCCTGGTGACCAAACGCAATGTGGTTATTCAATCCAAAGTGATACGATGTGTGCAGAAAATGTTGCCCTTCCTTCCCATGTATTTTGTGTATGACTCTGAAAATGCTGAATGAAAACTTGTTGAGCCAAACAACAATGTGGAAAGATTGTCTTATATTATAATATTGTGTTTTCTGAAACAGTAATCCGTAATTTTATTCGAACGTCTAATAAGTAATAATGACAGGCGCGCCCGCTCACACAATCAGAATTACGCGCGAATACAGACCCAGAATTTGTTTATCCTCGAAAAATACACCAATTGAAAGACTTCAAACGTAATGGAAAATGCATTTATGTTGTAACTTTAATGTAATTTCGGAGAGACGAAGTATAATATAATGAATAATCGGAATGAGAGTAAATTTATAGAGAAAATCAAGATAAAATAAACAGAAGATGAAGCGTGCATAAATACAAAAAGATGATCAAGAAATCACATTGTCCGTCTTTTGAAAAATAAAGTATTGTCTTAAATTTCCCAGATGGTTGCCTGAGCAGGCGCGTACGCAGGATTTTTTCAAGGGGGGGGGGGGGGGGGGGTTTTAACATTTATAAATCGGGCCGAAATTTTCGCAACGACTCAGCCAGCCGCTGAATAAGCGGGGGGGGGGGGGGGGGGGGGGGGGTAAGAGGTCACTTTTTTTTTTTTTTTTTTGGTCCCCAAAAAATCGCAACGACTCAGCCGACCGCTGAATAAGCGGGGGGGGGGGGGGGGGGGGGGGTAAGAGGACACATTTTTTTGAAAATATGACATTTTGCTCCGTTGGGGGGGGGGGGTAAGGTCATTTTTTTAGGTCAACCATGGGATTTTTTTTTTTTTTTCATTAAAAAAAAAAAAAAAAAAAAAAAAAAATCCAAAAGGGGGGGGGGTTTAGAGAAATTTAGGGGGGGTTTACACACAAAAAAATTACCAAAGGGGGGGGGGGTTTAACCCCCCAAACACCCCCCCCCCCCCTGTGTACGCGCCTGTGCCTGAGTGTGATTGGGATGATTTTAAGGAAATAGTTGACAACAATGTAAGTTGACTTTTGAAAGTGTCAAGAAAGAGATGAATAGGGGTATTCAACTACATCCTGGGAAAGTAACCCCGGAGGGTAATTCAGGTTGTTCAAACTCACTTTTCATTTACTTCTGCTGCAGGTTCCCTCATACACAGCCTTAAAAAAACAGACAGCTCTAGCATAAACACATCGAAAATTACAAGAAAAACATATACAGAACGAAAAGGGTGACAATGAAATAAAAAAAGCGATTGTAGCATTAACGTAGGATAACGGAAGACGAAACACCAAATAAAGGGTATATAGTAATGAATGAATGAATTTGGTTTAAATATTAACAAAACATAAAGAAAAAAACACATGGGAATTACACGAATAGAGAAAAATACGACCCCTTCTGAACATATGTTGAGATTATTGATGGCAAATTACTTACTTTTAACAAAAGAAATCGCTTGAAGGCACGACGAATGCCCTATATTAAGACCAGTATTCAAACAAAACTCCATTTGTAAACTATTCATACAAGCATGCATTCATGAATACGACGAATTAATTCACCTTATCCTGAATCGTATCCATATTTTTCTATTTAATTTGATTAGAAATTAGGATTGCATTAATTTCCTTTTTAGTATACGTAATGTCTTTCGAACCTGCATATAGCGAAACTGTATTTTGAAAGAAATAAATTTGTTCGGGACAGATCCAGGATTTAATAAAATGGGGGAGGGGAGGCGGAGTGGGCGAGCTCTGAAAATTGGTCGACAATTTCAAAGGGTATGGGTACAAAAATCCCATTGTTGTTTAAATAATTTTTGTAATCGCTATGCTTGGTATTATTTTCTGCATATTTTTTGATAAGTCCCTTTTGTTCCAAATACATGAAATACGATTGATCTTTGGTGGACAAATTATACAAACTGTACTTATTTTATCCACGTGTATGGTTTTCGAACTAAATATTTACTGTATGAAAATTAAAGTTTTATATAAAAAAAAAAAAAACGTACAAAGATATCTACTGTATTCTTTCTTGGTTATTTGGTGGCTCTTAAAAGAGCCGGTTTGTTGATGGGTTAGAAGAGAGTAACTTCTTAACCTCCGAATCCGTAGAGGGTACGTCCCTGTCGCTTCAGGGCGTAGACGACGTCCATGGCGGTGACGGTCTTCCTCTTGGCGTGCTCGCAGTAGGTGACGGCATCACGGATGACGTTCTCAAGGAAGACCTTGAGGACTCCACGGGTCTCTTCGTAGATGAGACCACTGATACGTTTGACTCCTCCACGTCGAGCAAGACGACGGATGGCTGGCTTGGTGATTCCCTGGATGTTATCACGCAAAACCTTGCGATGACGCTTGGCGCCTCCCTTTCCGAGTCCCTTTCCTCCTTTGCCACGTCCAGACATGATGTTTGCTTGCTTGATAAATTTCAAACTGACCACTTTAGGTCAACCGCTCGTATATATAACCACTATGCGAACGTGAGTGACCAAGGATCGCTTCCTTTGTTATGCAGACCCAGCCAGTCAACAAACCCATATCGGCTTTTCAATTTCCCGCCCGCGCCGAAAGGGCGATCTCATGCATAATGCATTAGAATAAGAATCGGTCTGTTTTTACAGTAGGATGATTTTTTCAGAATTTTATTCCTCTAAACTGAACATTATCTTTACAGTTCAAAGGAGTGTAACATCACACATGCCAATTTCCTGAAAAAAAAGCAGATTGTTTTGTATTACGGTGCAAATTTGATCAACAAAATGTGAATCGTGCGTTTACGGTGGTTCCGTCAATTCATGAATAATTCATAACCCACTCGATCGCTCCGTAACCGAGTCGGTTGAATATTTGTGTGTATTTTTCATTTTACGTGCTTTGTGTTAGCATGTTTTGATAAACAATTCATTTATAAATACATTTCCCATCGTATTCATTTTTTGGAAAGAGAAAATAACAATAATTGGAACACAATATAATGATTTTGTGGTTCCAGTTTGAGCGCGGTTGACGAAAGCACGGGCCGTGATATTGATGTATAATTCATGAGGTCAGTTGACCGTGGCGAAACTGACCAATGGTCGGAGGTTACAACTGACCAATCAAAGAGTGGTAGGCTGGTGGTATAAATACAAGCGCGGAACGTTCGAAATTTATCAGTTGAATATCAGAAACGACAATCAACAATGGCCCGTACCAAGCAGACAGCACGTAAATCTACCGGAGGAAAGGCTCCTCGCAAGCAGCTGGCCACCAAGGCAGCTCGCAAGTCCGCCCCAGCCACAGGCGGAGTCAAGAAGCCCCATCGTTACAGGCCTGGAACCGTCGCTCTCCGTGAGATCCGTCGCTACCAGAAGAGCACCGAGCTTCTCATCCGCAAGCTCCCCTTCCAGCGTCTGGTCCGTGAGATCGCTCAGGACTTCAAGACCGAGCTCCGATTCCAGAGCTCTGCCGTCATGGCTCTTCAGGAGGCTAGCGAAGCCTACTTGGTCGGTCTTTTCGAGGACACCAACCTGTGCGCCATCCACGCCAAGCGTGTCACCATCATGCCCAAGGACATCCAGCTGGCCCGCCGTATCCGTGGCGAACGTGCTTAAATATATTGTCTTCTTGTGACGATATCAAACGGCTCTTTTTAGAGCCACCACATAACCAAGAAAGAATCAGTTTTGTACTCGCAACCCACCCCACTGCTGTCTCTCTTTTTTTCCTTCTTTATATCTCAATATAATATTGAGATAATGTCATGTTAACCTGTCTTCGAATAATATAAACGTGGTGTATTTAACAATCTTTGATTTTTACACAACCAATTAGCAATGTTGAATGTTCCATTTTAAGCAAATTTTAATTTGAGTTCCCAAAATAAACATCTAGAATTAGATCCACGAATCTTATGTAAAAACACTTTGGCCCTCTAGAACTTAAATCTTTTCGAGAGATAACGAAATATTTGGAACACGAAATCCTGCACTTCGGGCATTTACATTGGAGGGTTTTCCATTAATGATAATACAACATGATCGTATACAATTCTTACTAAAACGTAAGCCCTTATCTTATACCATGGACCCTACTACCAATCTATGCTATAACAGAGCAAAGGGTTGACGCCCCTGCTCATTGAGAGACAATGCAATATCGATCCACTTCACAATACCGCCAAAAATAAGAAAGAAATTCGTTTAAGTGTTGGTCTCTATCGTGTCTTTGTCCTGCTATTTTCCTCATTCCCCTACCACCTTCGATCTGTTTCCCTCTTCATGATCATGTATAGTCTTTTGTTTCCTAGTACATGAACTTATAATTATTTAGGGGAGACGCCCCAAGTTGGGTAAAACAACGGTTTTAATTTGCACAAAGGAATCTCCACACTGTGTCATCGAAGCATACGGGTTCATGAGGGGGGGGGGGGGGCGTTCCTACTCGATGGATGAGGGATGATGATAAACGTAGCCTTCTTCTTTCTTGTTTTATTTTCCACTATCCCCCTTTATTTTTTCTTGGGGTCGAGGGTGTTATTTTTTCCTCGTAGCTACGGTAATACCATTTTTTTAAAAAACCCGAGTTTGAATTATAATGGTAAACGTCTAGGGTGGGGGGGGGGGGGGAACGGGTTGAGACACGTTCATTTTGGCTCTGTTGAATGACTTTATTATACATGTAAATGGGTTTTGATGTCCTTATTCTTTATTTATTTATATTACTACTATTTTTTGAAAAATTCATTTATTCTCATCTGCATTTGTAAGTTCGGCGCCATCACTAACATGGTGAATGATGAATCATATCCTCCGCTAAAAAACATGCGGATGTTTTCCCATTAGTTCATTGTATCTATCATCTAATACAAGCCATTCATGCTATCTCGTTTGATGATAACATCTATTCATAACAATTTTGACACTAATTGCCCATGACAAAAATCACTGTGAAGGCGCCTATATTGGTATCTCAAAGATACTAAATAATTAATATAGAAATATAGTCATCTTCATGTTTAATAGGTCCATGCATGCCTTGATAATGTTCTTTTCTATCCAAGCAATGAAATGAAACGAGGCCACCCTTTCTTAAAGAGACACCATTGTGCACGTTCCAATTCATGGAATGCAATTAGTGACGTAATTAAGTGGTTCAAAGCGACAGAGGTCGCGCTTCGCTTCGAGATAGATAATTAGCGGCGTTGCTGCTTTTAATAAAAAACCTTCATTGAAAGCGCAAAAAATTCAGTCTCTTTCACAATGGCATGAACAGCACTAGCCAATAAATTAATAAGGACATTTTTAGTTAATTATAACCTCATTTGGCCCTCGTTTATTGAGCTAATCCAGACCAAGGCCGAGTATTGTTTGCGAGCCACGGACATGACTTATGAAAGATGGAATGGTTCAATATGTATGTATGACATTTTGTATCACGCCCGTTAAACATCATGAATATTGGATGGATATTAACAACACGATTTTGCCGCAGAGAATATTCCCACTGCCAAATACTAGCTAGGAATTCATGTCAATCTTCCTCAATAAATTCGAATAATATTCATGACATACCGCCCTCTTTCTGGAATTCACGTTGCGTCTTTTTAGGAGCCAGAAGGGCATTAACTATGTGTCAAAGTAATGAAGTCACGTCCTTACATATTTCAATGGAAATGCATGTACGTGAGTTCTTGCATGTACTTGCAGTGTGGTGTACATTTCAGTCGTATTTATAATTTTGGAGATGAGAAAGGGCGAATATTGACCTCGTCCCCTCCATTCCCCCCCCAAAAAAAAAAAAAAATTACAATAAAAACCGATGAAGCGAATAATCATGTTAAAGTTTGAACGTAGGACAGCAGGGTATTATCCATATTTTCCATGCACTTTAGAAGAGGCTGTGTGAAACAAGAACGTTGGGCTGAACTAAGAAGATCAAAGGTGCCCCAAAAAGAAAATGCTTCATAAAGTGTGAAGTGTTTACTTTGTAAACAGAAAGGACAATCTATCGATTTGAGGTTAGAATATTGAAGCATAACGAGCTGAAAAACACCCAGCCCTAAATGTATGTAGAATGGAACCTTATAAAACATGACCAATATTCATAGTGAGCTTGAATGTAAGGTTGCGAAAAGATGGGCTAGTTTTTTTTTATAACGTTAATTTCGATCATGATATTTACGGTCAAAATCATTAAGTACGAGTCTCGCTAATTCGCTCATTGAGGCATACACAAAATAATGTATTAAATTCAACGTGTTCAAGAAGATGTGAGAGTTAGAGAGGGGGCTTTCACATGGTTAACATGAAGTTAAATGCACCAACACTATACAGTTAACTTTACATGAATCAATGATATTCACGCACGATAAAGGGAAACAAAAGGTTGAATAGTTTGAACAGAATTATCATGCTGTTACAAATATAACACAGATATCATTCATATCACATAATAAAGGCTCGGAGATAGAGTCACATAAAATAGTGTGCAAAATATAATGAGAAAAACGGTAGAAGAATAATAATGATAAGAAGAGTAAGAAGTGGAAGAGAGCGGATGACGTTGATAAAGAAGACACAGATAGGTAGTGAGAAATAAAGAGAGGGGAAAACATGGGAGAGGGAGAGAGAGTGAGAGAGAGAGAGGGGGTGGGGAGGGAGGGGGTGAGGGAGGGAGGGGGGGGGGAGGTGGAAAGACTCAGAAGATGGTGGGGTAGGGGGCAGAGGTGGTGACAGCAAGTCAGTATCAATGACATCATTACACATATTCATTTAACATGCGCACACACAAAAACCAACAAGGCCGAATTAACTCTCTTAACCCCAAGCTAACTTACCATGTGATGCATATAGGAATAATAACGATGAATCCCAGCACGTAGAAGGTTAAGGTGGGTAGTGTATGGACGGTTCCTGCGTAGATAGAGAAAGCCATGACCTTGGCGATGAACTTGACGGTGTTACCCACACAGCCAGCGTATGTAAAGACGGATACTACAGCAACGAAAGAGTTAAAAAGAGGTTTAGTTATATATTAGCTTCCTCAATCTTTATTGTGTCGGTGTGAAAGAATACAATAATAGTGTCAAAATCGTGCATGTATATACTTATCTCCTAATTGTTCTGAAAAACAAAATTGTAATGTTCTGAATAAGAGCAATTTTTTTTTATCTGTCTCTCTTCATTTTCTTCGTTTGTGTTTGACAGGATTATCCTTTTTCCCCTGTGCATTTTATTCACCTGCCATATGAATCCTCCCCATAGCCTATCTGATTATCCTTCCTGCAATGTACATGATCCTGATGTAAGTAGCATTATACATCTTTTTTTTCATACAATCGCTTATTATAATTACCAATTGATTTTCAAAACTCCATCTCTTTCAAGTAGAGCTTACAAAACGAATCCATTTCATATTTCTAGCTCACTCTTTTTTTTTCGCGATCGAATTCCAGCTCATGAGGTATACTATAAATCAACATTCATGTTGATACTGAGGTTAAGATTAAACCTATTCCATCCGATTTCAAATACACGCTCTTTCTGTGAAACAGCAGCTTATTGATGTACGCTACGTGAGCGAATAGGGCCTGAAATGAACCATGATAACGAGAATGAACGACCTTCAACATGAAAATGAATAAAATCATTTAGAGGACAACTATACATACAGATAACTAAAACATATTTTAAGCTCATTTGCCTCGAAGCCCGAGATGAAAAGAAGGACATCGACATAACGTGATACGATGAACATGAACATGAAAATTTGCATTGATAATAAGGTATTCATCTTTTAAAGGAAAATATACAGTCACGAATCGTCATTATTGGCAATCTGAAATTCTCGCTCGGTTTATCTCTTGAAGAGTTGAAATACCTGACGTATGATTATCAGTTATTACTATTACTATTTACTACTATTGAATATTTTAGGAACGGCAAATTATGATCCATGATTGAATGTGGGAAAATGTAAAAATTGGGCTTTAGGCTTTAGATATTTGAAAAGGGCAAACACTGATCCCGAAAGAATTTGATTTTTGCAAAAGATTGGCAAGTTTGGGTCGCGATGTGGAAAGTGGAGGTCTAGAGGGCGGTTTGGGCAAAGGTATGACAAACATCATAATCAATCCACCAAAGATTGCCTGTTTACAAGATTACGGAGGATGTTTAAAAATGATGTAAAATTGATACAACCGGTTCGAGCAAAATATAATAAAATTGTAAAATATTACTTTACCATACCACCTTATCATCCTGGGAAACTGAGTTTTCGACTTTGAAATGTCATGATTACTGTACATCAAAATGTAGATTATAAAAAAAGCTGTGCTAATGATTTGAAGTGTTAGGTTATGAAAGATGATGACTTGTCTTAATTTTTTTCATTAGTGCCCCTTTTTTCTAAGAACAGCAGTTTAAAGGGCCATTGTTCACACGCAGTTTACAGGGTTTTCCCCTTCCCCGATGCCTAAAATATATTGCACTTTTCACATTTCCCTACTCATTATTTTCTTTCACTCCGAATTCTTTAACGAGTCATGTTTGCAGGTACACAACTATTTGACCAACATGTTATTCCGTAAATTTTGCTTCTTTCTTTTCTCTTTTAGTAGACTTTATAGACATGTTTAAGGATTTTAATGATTCCTTGTCTATGTTTGCCAACCATCTCGGACATAAGTTCTCAAACAAACTAAATGATTATATTTTGAGAATAGCAGTCTCTTTTAAATATTTCCCTTTTTGGTGGCCTTTATAGACAGGTGAGAATGAATTTGACTGACCATACCTTGTTCATGTTCTCCGACCATCTTGGACATAAGACCTCGGATAAGCGGTGCGATAAAACTGGACATTGCACCTACCACCAAACCTGTGAATGGGATGACCAGAAACATATCAACATTATACAACGTTACAACATAGTCTTGGGTTCAGCAATAGATATTGTGTGTGTGTGAGAGAGGTGGGATGGAGTGGGAGGGCGGAGAGAGAGAGAGAGAGAGAGAGAGAGGGAGAAAGAGAGAGAGAGAGAGAGAGAGAGAGGGGGGGGGGGGAGAGAGAGAGAGAGAGAGAGAGGGGATCAGAAAAGAGAAAAACGGGATAACGAAAAATGTATGAATAAGTTTATTTTATTTTTATTAAAGTGCTTAATCTACAAATTGTACATCATGACTACATTTTCAGTATCACTTGAGTGGAAATGTACACTATCTTACCCAAATATATTCATTTACCTAGTCTTCAAATATCAAATAAAAACCGTGTTTCTTACCTGAATACAAAACGGGAGTAGTTTTGGCCAAAGCCGTTGTAAAGCACATGGCCATGGCACTGATGAGACTAATATGCATCATCCAGTAGTCGTTATTGAAATGATAGACAAACTGACCCCCAACTAAAGACCCTGAAAAACAGAAAGAAAGAAAAAAGATGTTATATATCTTTTTAAAATCTAAAACATATATGCATTCCATGGATGGTTGGAAAAAGAAAGTCTATATACGCAAGAATAGTACTCATAAAACAAGAAAAATTCAATTTTTGCTTATAATACTCAAATCAGAAAAATAGACAATATTTCATAGTTAATATTGATGAGAACATCAGTTTCTTTTGATTAAAACGCTATGATTTTTAACTTGATTCATTGAAATGGATAAAAGAATAATTCATCCTGTAATCAATTTTTCAAAAATGAACAAATTCTGGTGTATTCGTCTCAGCCTTGCACGTATATATTTCATTCAATTGCAAAATCACTTTGAAACGATGAAAGGGCAACCTTGTCCGATTAGGACCTTACTCATGGTGCAAGGTAAAAGGCATTTTCACAATTTCTCACCTACGCCTGGAAGTATCAATGAAACGGCTGTATAGAAGCCTACGTCGATTGGTGTCCAACAGAATGGCTTGGCTAGACCATAGAGCACCACAACACTTTGACATCCACTCACACTTATCAGTGCAAATAGAAGCACCATACCAGCTGCTATTAATTTCATATTACGCCTTCCTTCTGTGACCTTGAAGAGGTCACATGCCGTACAGACGATCGTTCTGACCGTCGTAGTTTGCTTAGTTCTCATCTTCGTCTCCTCGTCCACCGTTTCGATGAGGAGATGGGGTGATAAGGCGTAGACAAAGGCGAGCACAAGTAAAACCAACGAGAACCAATAGGAAGATTCGTAACCAAACCGCGCGATTAGATATCCGTTTGAAATTTGAATGGCACCATTTCCAAAGAAATAGACTCCCTCTGTGACGGCGATGCGTAAAGTCCGTTGCCGCTTTTCCGTGGTGTCTGCGATGTACGCATGCGCACCGGCAAAGAGGAGCGCAACCCCACCGGATATTCCCTGTAGGAGTTCAGCTATAAAGAATGTCCAAAGGGGTAAATGCGCGTATGCGATTATGAGAAATAATACACACTGGAGGATGTAACCAATACACGGAACCATCATGGCGACTTTCCGCCCGGCTAGATTGCTGATAGCGCCAACTACGATGGTCGTAAAAAGCGCGGGAAACGTGGACATGGCGTAAAGGTACAAACTCCAAACCGCTGTCTGTTGCTGTATCTCGTCCTCCAGTGTGTCCGTGTAATTGTCATCATTGCAGAGTGAAGACACAGAAAGGTTAGCGATGATGGAGCTGTAATGATGTTCTTCTCCGATACGGTGCTTGAGGTACTGGAGCCGCGTGATGACCATGGCCTTGCGGGCCAGAGCAATGAGGAGCAGGATCGGTTCTACGGTGATCCATCTTGAACTGGCACGTTCCCGGTCAGTTGAGATGATGGCTTTCTTTTCATCCTTGTCACCGCCGCATGAACCAAGATGCAGTGAGGTCCCGTTTATGGCCTCTTTTAAGGTCCCGTTTGTCTCCATTACCCGACCTCCTAAGCCAAGTCGTTCAGAGACCACCTCTTGCTTCCGAGTTCTCCTGCCTAGATAAATTATATAAAAAGAAAAAGAGAACCGGTAAGAATTATCGTAATGTGCCACAAAATTAGCATGTCATCTGAGATTTGGAAGAATCCTCTTCGTACAATTCTGTTAGGAAAACCGGAACGGCAGGAAAAACAGAGAGTGACCCTTTTGCTAATGGCAAGAATTGCTTTTCATAATGAGTTGAAAAATTGTGAAAACATTGTGTTCACATTACAAAAGTGTTACAGATCTTTTTGATTTTCTGAGTGACAGTTTGCCACGCAGTGTGAATTCAATTTGAGTGGAAAAAGAGATGAAACTCAGTGTAATCAGTAATGAAACAACATTGACGAAATCACGTGAGAAAGTTTTGCAGTTAAACATACCCATGGGTATTTTGAACAGTTTGAACACACATAAACCATGAACAAACATTGTTTTAATATGCACATTGCTTTGACACATTAGAGGAATGTTCAGATTGACAGAGTGCGTCAAAAATGGAATACTTATTTGTCACATTTTCTTCACTTCCTTTCATGTTGCTTTAAGATGGAAATTATCTTGTTCCCCATTTTTTTCTCCTCCTTACAAACTTTACTTCCCCATTCTGTTTTTCTCTTGCTTCATTCTTATTTTTTGATTCTGTCTTAATCTTCTTTCTTGTCTTTCATCACCCGATGTATTTCATAGAATTGTTGACAAATCATTATAAAACATTATGCTTTCCAGGGATTTCGTGTACGGCTATTCAAGAAATTGAGCTGAGCGATTTTGACGTGCTGAAAAAAAGACATCACATACATTTAAAGCAAACACTGAAAGGTAAACGAATGAGGGGTAGGCGCATTCAAAGACGAGCATCAGACGAGTGTCTGTGTCGTTCAGAGGATCTATGGTAGCCTTAAAGCGAAATGGGTGTAATGGAAATACTCCCAGGAGGATGAGGTAATGACGAAAGATGCCGAATTAGGACTGAAGCACATTGTCTCATCTGATCTAAGACGGATTGATCTGTCTTCGTAAAACACTCCCTAGGAGGGCACAGGAAGGGCAGGTATATGAGTGGGTGGGGGATGAACGCGACACTGACTGAGAAAGCTAGAGTGAGGAGGAGAGGGAAGGAGGAAGAGAGGTAGACCGAGATGGTGGATATGGATGTAGGGAGAGATAAAAACAAGATAAAGAAAGGAGAGAGGAAGAGAGGGGAAGAGGGATAGTGGGAGAGGGAGAGATAGAGAGGGAGGGGGTGGGGTGCTAGAGGGGAGAACGGTTGGATACAGAGAAAGATATATTTATATACAGTTAGCAACTGAATTATTCATACCCCTTGTAAATTTGATGTTATTTGTCTTCTCCGTAACTTAGGAACGAAAGGTGGGACTGGATGAATTAGGGCCTTTTTTAATACCCTTAGATGTATGATCTACTATGTCACATTCTCAAGAAAAATAAAAAGGAACAAATTAATTTGTCATAGGCCTATACTTAAACAATTAAAAACACTTTGTAAAAGTATGAATAATATTTAGTTATTAGCTGTATAGAGAGAGAGAGAGAGAGATTAGGAGGGGGTAAATTTTTATCAGAATGGAAGCGGGAGTCAAGAGAGAGAAATGTGGCAAGGATGAAAGGAGTTCAATTTTATTTTCTTCAAAACTATCATTTTGTGTATCACTATTTCTTTTACTAAATAATACATTGTGTTATTTTGTTAGTATTTGAACTCGTTAATATTTGTCAAGGGTTTGGACAATAAGTACATTTGAAAATGGGTTCAGGATTGTCCGAGGTTGAAGGTGTAATCAACCTGGTTTGTTTTATCGTGAAGCCCGTGTCGTATCACTCCTAATGTTAAAGATACAAGTGTTTTGGTCTACGTTACAAAAGTAATTCAAACTTCTTACCTAGAGACTCACTCGCCCCCACATTTTTCTCGGAAATGAATTAAAATGCACATTCAGAGATTCTAAAATACCTTTTGAGAATCAACGACACGCGTAAAAATGAAATGAAAGTAGAAACACGTCTTGGCTAAAAGCCTTTTAGTTTCCTAGCGTTATATATACGTTTTCCTTTTATTAGATATATTACTCAATGGTTTACCCGTTATATTGATTTGCATTCATTATTATCATGTCGATTTAAAGTGTAGATTCTTGATCAGACAAACATTTTTAAGACAAACGCACAAGAAAACTCGCCATGACTTGTATCTTCATTATTTTATTTATCTCCTTTATAAATAAATATACACTTAGTGCTTTGTTGTCTTCGCCATGGGGGGGGGGGGGGGGGTAATGTAATGGTTTGTTCAGTCTGTTGTCGGTGTTGTGGGTGAGATTGGGGTATAAAATGACCCCCACATACAAAATTATGCTCAGATATGAGAAGTCCCACCTGGTGCATCTTTAGAATAATGACTGCCAAAGTGATGGAGGTGCTTCATGAATACCTTTTATACCTGATGTTTGCCCTCTTGAAAAGAATGCATCACCTGTGTATCATAGATTGTACCGCCGGTGCATAAATGAATTATAATTGCATAACTTTTATGAACACGGATCCAGCAGTCATCTAGATGGGTTTTTACAGTTTTGTACAAAATGATCTTTATATCTGCCCATGCGCAGACCGTAATATCCCTGACGTAACTTATTAAGCAGTAACTCCCCGTTTCTCCCGGAAAAATAAAGGAACGGCTCAAAATGTTTATTTAAACATTTTCCCCTGGTGAATGATTGATGGAAATCTCCGACCCGATAAAGAGGCGATTGATGAGAAAAGGAAATGACGAGTAGACAGATACATGAGTGCATGCTAGTTGTCGAGTTTGTCTTGTAATAACTGGGCTGGTTGCGTAGTAATAATGCTACAACACAATGACAGTGTTGACACCACTGCTAAAGGTAATTTGGGGAAGCAGTTAAAGATACCGAGGCTTCACATAATGACACTTAGGGATGCAATACAACCAGGAAAAACGATTAAAAAGTATATGGTTCCATTGCAGGGTTTGGCTTGATTATTTTTGACGACTCACATAAGCTCCCAATAAAGATTTTTGAAATTGCTATTCCTATAAGACACACCCCAATCGATTTCTTTGAAAAATAAAAAATAATCATGGCAATGTTGATCTTAAATTACAAAATGCTCGAATTGTGTAATGGTATGTTGAATGATATATATGCGCATACTGAATGTGTATGGTGTCAGAATCACGGAGCGGTGTTAACCAAAAAGGCAAACAAAAAGATTACTTGTAAAACAAACCCTTTTATATGGGTAGCGAATCTATTTCGTTGGCTATTACATTTACCGAACATTCTAGCAGCGGCGTAGTTTGCTGAAAAAGACAATTTGCATAACATTAATTTTAATAAAATTCTGTTTTATTGGAATATGTCATTGTTTCATTTTCTTCATATTCCCCAAGATACTAAATTCAAATCAATTTAAGATTGCTGTGCGGCCTTCGAAACAGGCACAGTTGTTTCTCCATAATTGCAAGCACGCTCAGAATACTGTTTTTCCAATGGTTTTCTTTGTTTTCATATAAACATGGAAAATGTCATTCTCTTCTACATCCTCCATCTCTTACTTTCACTCTGTCGCTGGAAATATATGGACATGTTTCCAATTTATTTATTTTGTTTCTCTTTCCCTTCGCAAAGCAGTAGCAGAGGTTACTATACTTTCTATGCGTATAAGATCAGACGTCCGAGCGCAATATTCTTCCAGCTGTCAGTTTCACTTTGGTCAGATTTGCAAAGATATGCAGGCAGTCGTTTTTCTGAGCTTTTTCGTGTTTAAAATTATGGTCGAAAATCAGAGGAAACAGTGCTATCTTTAATCTCAAATGTAGATTATTTACAGTGAGGTGTAGGCTTTTGGCTGTCAGTTCATATTCATTATGCATGAAGATATTATTTATTTTCTTATTCACAATGCATTTACTATGTAAAAAATGTAGTTAAAATTCTTTTATAACTCACTCTGAGTTGAATGTCGCTATACAAAATCATGATCTTTTCATATTATCATTTTTATTATCATTTTTATTGAGAAAATCAGAGAACAAACTACTTGTATTTTGCAAGTTTGTCTTAATAAATTCATGAATGCAGGGCTGTCAAATTATTCTTTCTTGAGAAAAGCATAGATATCGCTCTATCTCGCTATTTTTGGGGGAGAAAACTAGGAGATCTATAACGTAATTATATTTCTTGTGACATGGCAATATCGTGATCATTATTGCAATAATGTGTTAAGTAAGGAAACTGGTAGCAGAAACCAAATAAACACAGAAAGAAAATATAAGAAGAAAATGTCAGCGTGTGTATAAGCTTATAACAGCTTACGGAGAGCAGTATCGATAAACTGATTCTTGGAATCTGTGTAATACAACACCTGCATGCATGAAAGGAAGAAATAACACCTTTTAATGTATGCATGGCAATCTCCTCACGGTATAGTCACCATCAATGAAGCATTTATTGTTCCTAATAATCAATACTCTACGTCAACTGCATTTCCAATTAATTTTGGCCTCTTCTATAAGCCGCGAGTAGGCAGGGCTCGTGTACTTTGAAATGAAAACTCGACCAGGCGAGATTATTAGCCATCTAAAGTAACATTTACCTGGCTATAACTACATTAATTGGTCCCCATCATCTAAGTAATATATCAACATTACACAGTACAGATGGTTATCGATTCTTTCATTTAGGTATGAATGGAAAAGTCCTTGAGAGTTCTAGTCTAGTAATTCTGTTAGCGCGTGCCTCGTCACAGTAACAGGCAGCCAAATTAACTTGTTAAATACTTCATTTCGGGAGCATTGAATGGTAATAATCACGGCGTTAATTCGCCAAAGTGAGAGATGATTTGTTTCTGTGAGGCCACCATACAATATGATTCGCTTGCTGCGGTGAATGAAAAATGACGAGAAAAAAAAACAAAACACAGCGTAGTCATGGATGTGCTATATAATTCAGTGGCTCAACTAAGATAT